CCCACTCTTTCTCGGCCTTTCCCCGGGGACAGAGGAAAGTGAGGAGATGAGGACAAGATAAAAAGAGACAGAAGAAAGAGCACTGTGTAAACATGAGCATTAAAGGCGCTCCGAGCGTGTCCACAGCTCTGATTTGGACTCATGGCTAAGAATAACACAGTCACTATGAACAGTTTGTTCCTGCTCCTAATTATGAAAACAGCACACACAAGGCTGTCTAATGAAGCACAGGGCTATACCCAATACTTGTCATCCAACCAACCTGTACTCAAGTGTAACTTCCCACAATGCACCAGTGCAGCCCTGGAGCTGATGTTGGGACAATAAAACACATTTGGATCACACATATCAGAGATGTCATGTCCCACTGGAACATCCCAACCTTCAGCTGGCCGTTTAAAAATAGGAAGATGAGACAGTGGATGGACAAAGAGGCTCAACAGTGGAAAGTAATTATGTAGACATTATAGATTTAGTTTAAAGACTGGAAATTGGCTTTGGTGAGCACATCTGTCTGATAATGCCCTTTCCATGACAGTATCATAAATACATGCTAAGCTGTGTTTGATCAAAATCACTGTATTAGACAGACAAATCACCTACTTGGCCATTTTTATCACAGTGACAGTAAGACAGCATCAAGGCCATAAGAACTTCACCTAAACATGGACAAAAAGAAAGATAGTGCATGCGTTAGGCCAAAGCAGGGTTTTAAACAATAGTATTTTAAAATTTTTGTCATATAAATAGAGGGGGGGTGGAAAAACAATGCCACCAACACCATGTAACTTGAGTTACACGCACACGCCTCCGGACCACAACCAAAAGTTGTGGAGATGAAATTGATTATTGCAGTTGGGGAAATTTGAAGACCTGTGTACAAGAATACATTTTTTCATTTCTGGCGTTGTGGCGGTTGCCATGCCGACTCCGTCAGAGTGAGGGCCGCAGGTCACAGTACTGTTGAGATGAATGTTGCCTATAAGCCGATAAGAGGCGCACAGAGGGAACGACTATATGAATTCTCGCGCTGCCCCTCTCCTCTCTCCCTCTATGCGTCCAACAGCCTGCCTGCTTCCAGCCTGTCTGGTGCCAAGACTCAGATTTCAGAATTTCCTTCTACAAGCCACATTTAGAGCAGCCCGTGCTGCGTGTGTGTGTGTGTGCGTGTGTGTGACTGAGTTTATGCAACTTTCTCCTCTGACTGTCTGCCCCCCTGACCCCCGCCTTTCTGTTTTTACTGATCACTGTCTCTCTGGCCGTGCCCCTACGCCTCGATCCATCTACCTACCTTCACTTCTTTTGTTTATTCTGTGGGACCTTGACCTAAGCACACAACTGATGCCATACAAGTCCGATAGCATGAATGGCCACTTGTGACTTTGTGTAATAAATATAATTAGACACACACTAGTGTGTAGTAGAGATTTATGTTGTACTGGTAGTGTAGGGCCAAAGGCACTGGGGAACAGTGGGGGTCCCAGCCAGCAGGCACATGACCTCCATGACCCACGGACTTATTGGGATGGATCCTGAGGGGACATGCCAAAAGAAAGAACAATCACAGTATTTGGCTTGTTCACATTTTTAACATGACCTTTTCTGGCTAAATTTGATGATCGTCCAATGGTACAGGCATGAGTCTGTTTGGATTTGGTAAGTTCAGTAAAGAGATCCAGACAATAATGTCTAATGTATACGTGACTGTATGGACTGCATCAACTTGATACTGAGTTTAGTCATGATGGGGAGAGGAGTCTTGGTGTCTGTGAATCAGAAATAACTTTTGTGACCAACATTCTTTCTTTTCACTTCGAGAGACTTTCCCTTTTTCCTCCAACACCTTCTTTTTTAATCACTTCATCAGATTTTGTCAAACAATAAGTCAATGTCTCAGCACGCAATATTTGTGTACTTTGTTTACACGTGATTCGCTGTCTGCAGCCTTGAGCTGTTTGTGTGTGTAAACAGGCTGATACAACTAATAAAAGGGATGTGTGTGTAGAGGCTTATGCAGGCCCACTCTAAGAGGCTGTGTCTATTTGATGTGGGGTTGATCAGGGGCCAAACACGGAGCCTGGTTTCTTTGTAGGTTTCCCCAGAACAACTGCTTCCTGTTTCTGAAAATGTGGTAAAAGCCCTGTAAATGAACTAACACTGAGCAGACACTGATAAGGTTTAGAACTGCACATACGCCTTTGTTATTAAGTCAGTTTTGGAGTGAGAATGGTTAGACTCCGCAAAAACAATGTTCACCTGTTATTAAAAGAATGTTTAGAGCTTCGCCTTAAAAGCCCTGTAACCAATTCGTTCCTATTTATTTGTGCAAATTCTGTCTTGCTCCATACAGATATATACAGATATATACAGATATATCGTGTAAATTGTGTAAGCAGTATCTAATTAGAAAGCACAACAACTAGCATGCTAGATTCTAGTTGTTGTTAACTTTACCACTCTGGTCTCTGAGCATTGTGAAAAGCACTTATCATTGCAGTGCATAATTAGGATGTAGACAATGCATAAGATATGTGAGGAATATTTTTGGACCACTGCAAACCTTATAAATTGTATAGTTTTGTTTTTTCAAGACAGTAAAAATCAGGTACACTTTTAATTGTGCATAAGTCTGGAGTGTTTCTGTCATCATCATTTAATCATATTAAGCTTCATCACAAACGGATCAGGCATTTCTCTGTTTGGTTACCCCACCTGTCAATAATTCTCATTGGGAGATAAAGTCCCAGACTATGCTAAAATGGAAAAAGCATGTAGTCTTGGCTGGCTAAGGTCATGGTACAGGACCAGTCGCTCCACACTCTCAAACTGCATGATTGGAATTATAACAAATGTATTTGTATGTAGAATACATTTGTCCTCACAGTAAAAATGATGATCTGGAGAATCCAGGTTATTACAAATGCTTTTACAAAAGAATGACACACCTTGTAAGATTTACTAGTATTCTATGGCTTCTGTATATTTCTCTGTGGCAAAGGACATGTCATTGAAGAGCCCTTCTCAAGTGCTGGCTGTAGACACATCCCCGTGTGGTCAGAGAGTGATGGGGCACCACACACTGGACAGAAAAAACTCCTCTGTTCCATCTCTGACAAATAACAATAAGCCTGTGCTGGATTCCGATGGCCTTCTCTTTGAAATGGGATCTCAGCACACACATTACAAATATATCTCTTGTTTTATCTTCCGGGCCAGGCCCATGGAAAAATGATTCCAAATACCTGCCGCGCTTTATCTGGAACACTGGAATAGGTTCGGCCCGGCTGGGAACACGAGAATGTCTAAAATAAGGCCTCTATTACGGGATGGAGTAGAGATGGACAGGAGCGAGCGGGAAGGGACAGGGATCTGGGGTATTTTAGGTGTATGGCCATGTGAAAAGGCCTTGTTGCGGGGGACATGGGCCCACTTTTAAGTGGACAATGTGGATTGCCGTTGTCAGCTGTCGTAACGGTGCGTGTGGGGCCGGAGCTGTGTGTGCGTCCACACTGCAGCAGAGTATAAATAACATTTTTCCTACAGATGTTCTCACCTTGACAAATCTTGGCCTGTTGGCAGCTTCTTGGCACCGTGCAGTGTGCCAACTTAAGTAGACTTATATTTACCTTTCTCTACCGCTGTACAAACCATTTCATTTTACAACAACATTTACATTCCCTGCATTTGTTATGGCAATTTATCAGAGTGGCCCACATTTAGAAAGCCTTTTCAGAGTGCAGAGTAGCTGCCCACCGTAAGCACGACATGAGTGACTATTTTGTATGCAGTCTTTGGTGGAAACAGTGGCAGGTGGACAGACATGACTTTGGTGTGCACTTGTTCTCATGAGAGAATGGAGATGCAGAGTCACCATACACATGAGCCAAAGCAGGGATCTGTTGGGTTTGATGGTGGGACCAGAACATCCATTGGCCATGTTGGTGGGAGAACAGACTGGCATAACCACCACACAATGACTCACACTACTACGAGCTGCCAATCCCATTATGTAGTCCATCTGGCAGCCCAGTGTAATGTATCACCATGCCATAGGTCAGATGTTAGCATCCTCTTCTCACACCGACTGATGATTTTGTAAAGCTTTGCGGTATATATAGGATTGTAATACTAACTGCAGCTAATTCATGAACAGGGCTACTACGGTTAGCTCCTGTTAGCTGTCGTCCTCTGTTGGGCATCTCACAAATGTGCCCAGTGGCAAGGGGTCACATTATGGTATTTCTCTGTTTTAAAGGGTAACAGTCCGAAAGAGCCAAAGAGGCACCGCATTACTGTCATGGTAACACAAAGCATTACACAGATATGTTTCAACAAGAGGAATGCCGGGCTGAAATTTAGTGCAATGTAAATCATGTGAGACTCTGATGCCGTGGTGCTTAAAACCATGTTCACATTCAGTGCTTTGGATGCCACCAGCTCTTTGTAAATCCTAAAGGAGCTAGTTTTCATACAGTGTGGACAGTTTCATATAATGTGAGGACTGTAGACTTTTTACTGTAAACAATATTTAGTTAAATTTGTGCTACACTAGCTTTTTCCATTCATTAATTTATTTTGATTTAAACACTTGAGTTTCAAGTTATATAAAATGATCTGCTATTTACAAAAAAATACAAGAAGATAGTGTCTAAAAGAAGTAGGCAGAAGCAAAGAGTCCATTGAATAAATCTGGCTGATTCGGTGATTGCAATTTGGATTTGCAGTACCAACACATACATACTAAGTGCCAGATTAGTTGCGTTGACAGAGTAATCAAGAAAACTGGGCAGAACCAATACAAGGAGAACAGAGTCACACACAAATATAGAGTCTTATTTTAGAGCCAGTCAAAATACTAAAAGAATTAAACAAGGAACATCAACTATCAATGACAATAAATCTTAGTCCTATGAAAGTAAACGGTGCTCAGACAATGAAATTTCAAGCATGGATTGGGGGATGAGTTTGTAAAAAGCATTTCTTTGGTGCTTTCTCTCCAGGGCTGACTCTGCCAAGATGACACAGCCCATGAGGACAGACCAGGCGCACCAGCCCATCTCGACCCGTAAGTCCTCCAGCCTGTCCTCGCCGAGCGCTGCCCGCCGCCTCTACCGTAACCTCTCCGGAAAGTTCCGCGTGGGCACCAACCCCCCTTCTCTGGAAGACAGTGTGGTGTCAGGACGGGGCGGGGACAAGGAGCGGCTGCGCAAAACCACCATCGTAAGTCACACTAAGACAGAGGGAAAAAATAATACGCTGCCGACATCATAGTCCAAAAATAGTCGGAGGAAAAATATAGAATTTTGGAGCAGTGTTCCAGATCTTTTTTTTAGTCTTAGCCTTTTGAATACAATATTTACATTTTTTGTTTTGTTTTGTTTTTTTTGACAAAAATGTCATGGTGGTATTTAGTAACTGAATCCATAATATTTTTTTGTTAACCAGAAAATATATTTTCTATTTTAACTATGATAAATTGTATTGAATTGCTTCATGGGACAAGACGTGTTCTTTGGACGTTGAGTCTGTTTATGGTCTGGTTTGGGGTTCTGGGACTGAAAAGTGGAATTTGGATCTAGTCTCCACTTGTTCCATCATTTATGTTTAGTTTTTATTATTCAACTGTTCAAGTATAATTTTAATCATAATTTTAGTCTTTATGATTACTATTTCAGATGCGTTTTTTTTTTTTACATCGACAAAAACTACACTGAAAATATTTTTGAAGGAGCACACTTTTAGGAGTTTGTAATGACACAAATGTGTGTTTGTTCATGTCTTAGTTCCAGAGTAATGAAGCCCTGTTTGAGGCGGTGGAGCACCAGGAGCTGGACCTGGTTCAGCTGCTTCTGTCCCAGTACAGTCTGGAGGAGCTGGACCTAAACACACCCAACAGCGAGGGCCTGCTGCCTCTGGACATCGCCATCATGACTAACAATGTGCCCATGGCCAAACTGCTGCTGCGGGCTGGGGCCAAAGAGAGTCCTCACTGTGAGTTTTACACATCAAATGTCAAAAAAGGAGAAAAATGCATTCAGGAAGCTCACCTACTATAATTTGACACCTACTATGTTTTATAACTGTGGAGGGATGGTTCCTGTGGTATCATTATTCATAATTTTACATCAGCTAAGTGGCAGTTTGTGGGGAAAAAAATTAAAAGAAAAGTACAAAACTACAGGAAGTCTAATTAGGTTCATTAGGTCTGCACATTTGCAGGTCTGCACCAGTCAGACCAGTATTTTTGTGTCGTACTTTGGCATGTTTTGGCTCTACTTTGCAGCCTTCTGAGTAGAAAGATGGTGGAAAACTTGTTTAAATCAGATGACCAGACTTGTCACAGCAACATCATGTGACACTTCTGAGGACGGTAGCATGACACATAAATGCAGGTCTGCCTAAAAAATCTCCAAATTATTAAAAAGAAGCTGTTGAGTTTAAAAAAACGAAACCCTCTGCCTATACCATCGAATATTCCATCCAAAATGCAGGAACAGTTTACTGTGTGGTTGGTAGGTAACAGTTATGGAATTAACTGTGCATATGTCACATCACATCTGCTGCCCGTATCCAACCAGGAAATAAAGTTATAAGCTTCACCAAGAAAAAAACGATATTTGCTGTAAAATCTTAAATATAACATGTGAACTATGTTTTAATGAAATGAATAGTCTAATCAGCCATATGCACATTAAAGCATTAATCACAGCATATTACACTTATTACATATTACACAGTATTGTAGATAGTTTTAAATCTCTGTAATTCAAGTCTCCAGTCTCCAAATTGTATGTGATGTCTGCAAATGTCACTTGTAGACCACTCTATATTTCTGGGCTGTAACTAGGTTGTAAACACAAATATTTGACTCATAGCTTTGAAATGCCCTCAGTGCCCCACATCTCATAAAAAATCTGTTTCCCAATGAAATCATTTTATATGTATTACTCCATACAGTAAATTGTTAAGTTTGTTTTTGTTTTGTTTTCATGCAGCACGACAAACATGATCAATGCATTAAAATGTAGTCTTAGCTCATTGTATTGGCTCTGAAGTATTTCTGGAAGACCTCTGCTTGGGTCGCCAGAAAGTCTCTGCATAAATAAGAGAAACAGCTTCAGCTTGCTTTTTTGTTTACAATCATATTTGCGCTAGTAATTGTTATTTCTGTTTACCAAAGTTTGGCAAACCTACAAGTGAATGTAACCAGGATAATTAATAGTCTAGCCATGAACTATCAGACCTACATACTATGACTATAATGACTGATGACCCTATAAAAAACAATATAATTATGGCATTGTAAAAAGCCAAAGCCAAATAATTTCACATAATGCAGACGAGCTTTCTTCTTCCCACCACTCACAAACATGCACATTGAGTTTATTGCCATGATATTAATGCTGATGAAAGGGCGGTAGTTGTGATGTAATATTAGTCATCTTGGTAAGCACTTTTCACTGTCTGTGATCTGTGCGACGCCTCGCTTTTCCTCTTCTGCTAATGATTAGAACACGCCAGTCAGACTCCTTTGTGTTTGTACTCACTCTCTCACACACCAGGACTTTCCAAGAGCCAGCCAGGCTTCTTATAAAGGTATCATTAAATGGAAAACACTTGAATGCTAAGTGCTGTTTACTTTGATTGTGCCCCCAAATAACTCATAAGAGAGTAAGTAAGCATTTAAAAAACAGGCCAGAAAACATATATTTACACGCATGCACTAATCTAACTCCAGCAGGCAGGGATTGACTTCAGACATGCTGCGCTCCTCGCCTCCAGCTTTTAAAAGAATTGATGCTTATTGATACTGCCGAGCTTGGCTGTGCAGTATGTGGTTTCCAAGGCGACCGGGGCAGACCAAGACAACAGAAGAGATTTATGGATGCACTTGTAAATCTTTTGGAGACAAAAGATGTGAGCTATACATGTCAGAGTCACTAGAGTCTGTCTTATTTCATAGGCTCTGATGATAGCTCACCCGTGGATACTGGATTCAACAAATACAACATCAAAAAGTTTCATATTTCACTTTTAGATAGGCATAAGTATGTTTTATTTCACCACACTGTTTATTTTATTCTATAAACTGGCTGAGACACAACAATTGTGCTATGTTCACACTTGCACACAAGCTTCATCAAATTTTGGACTGAATGGAGGCTAAACCCGGAACTAAATCTGGACTAAAGACTAAATCAAGCCAACATCTGGACTTGAATCAAACCTCAACCAAACTAGTGATGTGAGGTCAGTTCTTTTTGCTCTTTGTTATTATAATATATTGTGATGTGTAAGCTACTGGGTCCAAATAATTTCCCTTGTGGATCAATAATGTTTGTCTAAGTCTAAGAACAGCTCATTAATGTGAAACATTCAAACTGGAAAAAACATTTTCTTTCTATTTTTTACACATGTTTACTGAACAAACTTAACAGCATCTGAGCAGATTAGGAAACACAAGACAGTTGTTTTTTAGTTTTTTTCTTTCTTTTTTTTTTTTTTTTGTCCAAAATTTGATTTAGATTAAACATCATTTGCTGCAGTAACTGCGGTCATGCCACAAGTTTGGACAATTTTAATCAAATGTTAGTTCTCATCATTTCTTCCAGTGCCTATTTAGTGGATACATTTAGTTATTTTATTGTTTTTTAAATGAACAAACTCCCATTAAACAGCAATCCATGACAAGTGTTAATGCTGCCTTAGTTATAATGACACAACTGACTTCTGGAAAATCCTCACCTCTTCCCAGTACTAAATGAAAAATCAGATTGTCCATTAGCAGTCCCTCAACTTCAAATCTGAGTCTTTCAAGGTAGAGAACATGGGAGGATGGTTGAATTCAAAGGGGGACTGGGAGACAGGGAGAGAGAGAAACAACACCCAGATGGACATTTTGACACGGAGCTTTAAACTTGGTGTCAACAGTGGAATCTACAATGAACAAACACAGATGAGTCAGACTAAACACAGACACACACCAGCTCCAAACAGTGCCTGAGTGACCAGCCACCAAAGAAGAACTACAGTGTGCTACTGTCCGCCATGACCTGGACTACAGCTTTACATTACCTGCTATGTGCTGGTATGTGGCGCAACGCTCCGCAGCAGCATTTCAACCATACACTTATTTGTTATGGCACCGTTAGCAACCGCTAGTGGCCCGTGACATGTACAGTGCGCAAAAGTGAATTATGTGGATTACTAAGAATGCCTTTTGGTATGTGGAGATAAACTTAAAGGTTCTATATTACACAAAATTGACTCTTGTGAGCTTTAAGCCATGTTAGAATGTTGTTACACTCTTAAAAACAGACCTGGTGTTGTGTTTTGTTTCATTCACACATTTTAGTAATCCTTTATTATTAGTCTGTCTATATCTCCAAAGATCAAAATGCTCTGTTCTACCTTGTGATGTCAAGAAGCGGTAGTATTCAAGTCCAACAGCTACCTTTTAATTTCTTAATAGAGCTTCCAGGTCTGAAATTATCCAAATGATTCTAGTGAAGGTGTACGCAGTTTTAACTTTCAGTATTACCACATGACATCATAAAGTGTTTTCTGTGTGAGAAAAAAAACTCTGCTTAAATATGCAGAGTTTATGTGTTAAATATGTGTAAATGAAACAAAACACAACTGTGATATGGACAACATTATAACATAGATCATAAAACTGTTTAATATGGACTCTTTAATTCTGCTAACATTTTAGTCGGTTATTTATAACTGTGAAATGTGTTTGATTGACATTTCCCCCTAAACTAGTGTAGGAATGTGGGAATCTACACATCCAGAAACATCAAATACAATCACTTTTCATATGTGCAACGTAATCTAGACACTAACCAAATGTATATGCCATTGTGTGTAGTGCTTCTCAAACTTTTCACACCAATTTGGCTTTCCAAAATTTCACCAGATCTAAACCCTGTCTATAAGGGTCTAATAACGTGACTCGCTAGCAGCATTTTAAACAATTGCCTATTTTTATTTCCATCATTTTGTCCTGGTTTATATGCACATTTACACAGCGCTGCTCCCTCTCGCCCTTCTCACTTTCATTGCCCATTTTCAGTGTCAATTTGGGGCTGATGTCATCCTTAAAGAGTGCCTGCTTAGTTAAACTGACTTTATTGAGAAATACACTGCAGCCTCTGGCAAACAAAGACATTAAAGGAGAACCTGGAAAAGCCATTCGCTGCTGCTTCTGTGGAGTGTCACCCTGGCTGTGTGCACTGTCCAATCACCACATTATCAACACTACTTTGTACAGCTATACTCATTTGTTTTCTTTTTCCATTGATCTTTCTCCAGCTACCATGAGTCTTGAGTGTCTAATATTTTTAGCACCAATCCAGGCTTTAGTTAGATGCAGTCCAACGCACCCAGAAATCAGCCCTGAAAACACACTTTTTTTGGGTTAATCACTTTGTAAAGTAATTTGTGCATATTCTCAAAATCTCCTTAAAGTGTATAAGACAGGATAGGGTACTAATTTCAATCAAAACAACTTACTTTTATGATTATAGTAAAATATTGCCTGAATACAGGTAGAAGATATGACATCTCCAGCATAATGCTAACAACAGCCAACCCTGTACAAATTGCACAACTGTTATTATAACATTCATAAAACATAAACGCCAACATCTTTATTTTGTTCAATAAATTTAAATCAAATTGCTTCTGCATTTTGGATTTTAGAGGCATTCTATTTCAGGACTTACCCGTACGTCCGGTGTTTTTGTACTTTTCCACAACTTTACTTTTTACCACAAACTGCCACTTGACTGTGATTAATATTCACCACAGATACTATCAAACCAAACCAAGTAATAATTAGAAAAACACGAAACGCTATCATATGCTCTCAATATTTCTTTTTTTGCAGTTGTAAGTCTTGAAGGGCGTGCGGTCCACTTAGCCACCCTGGTACAGGAGGCTGAGCAGCGGGTGTCTGAGCTCCAGGCCCAGGTGAGGAGTGAGGGCCCCAGCGAGCGCGACTTATCTGACCGCGAAAGGCAGCTCAAGGCCTGGGAGTGGAGGCTCAGGCTTTTCCGGCGAATGCAGAGCGGCTTTGAGCATGCCAGTAAGTCTGTCCCCCTCACTTTGATTCTGGTCACAAAGGAGTTTTCACATGCGTTTTTCACACAGGCCGCTCGGATCAATGCAACACGTCTTTTTATTTTCGCTCCCGTTCTAAATGGCTGCTGGGCGTCATGTCTAGGCACTCTCTTAATGGCTTCCACGCTGAGTTGCCAAGCATTTGACTGAGAGCATTCAAACCATGAACACTCGTACTACTGCTTTAATTTTTAATAGGCATTCCATGACACTGTGAGCAGCGTGCTAGACAGCCGCCTCCTTAACACAGACGCACGCACACTCCCAAACCATTCTGTGCTTTAATGCTAAAAGAACTGTGCCCACTTTATAATTCCACACAGTCATGTCATTTAATGGGCAACTTGTGAGAATGGAAATTAGACACTGGCTCAAAAGCAAGACTGTTGTTACTGCCGCTGCAGAGATATCAAAGCTTGTGCTGGATGGTACTGCTTTTGCATTTCTAAGATTCTACGAGGTAGCACCATGTAAGTCATTAGTGGTAATGTGCCTTGCTCCAATATGATGTTCTTTGAGTCTTTCTAGCATTTTGGTGTTGACTGCAGATCCACCAGATGCCCCGAGTGTGGTACGCCTGTCGGTCAGCAGCAGCACCAGTCTCAGGGTGGACTTCCAGGAGCCTGTCTGTGTCAACTCTGCCGTGGTCACCAAGTACAGAGGTGTCACATTTATATGATTAGATACAAAATAATGCATGTGTTTATTCTTTAATAATGAGAAGATAACTATTGTTCCATGTATGCTGCAGTGAGCTGGAGTAACTCGCCCTCGTGCAGCCCACTGCTGGGAGAGATGGTGGTGGATGACACCACTCAGCTCCACTGCAACATCACAGGACTCACTTGTGTAGGTTCCACTTTCATATGATGAATACCACAATACTACTATACTGCACTGATGCTTTGAGCTTTAACAATAAGAGAAACTACATCCGTTTGGTTAATGTTCATGTCAGTATACTGTTCAGTTCCCACAGTGTCCTTCAGAAGCTCCAGATCAAAGGTTGCTCGCTCTAAGATACTTTAGTGACAAAGCCACACAAAGAGAATGTTGTCCAGCAGAGAACTATGACTATTATTTACACACAAGAGGGAAGCATTTGTCGGAGACATTTCTAGCCATCTACCCAGCAGCTCTTGGTTATTACATCTGTCATATAGGTGGCCCCAGCGCCATGGGGTCAGAGACACATGGGCTTTTAGAAACAACTGAAAGCGTTTATTTACACAGGGAGCTCCTGGTCATTTATGAGTAGCGTCCCCAAACTGATATAAAGAGCAGCATGGCAGTCGGTCACCTGATTTATGTGTGGCATTTTCTGTAGTGGGCATATAGACAAATGGAGGATCTGCTGGTTGTTTGTAGTTGTGTGAAACCCCTTCCCCCTGTGAGACCCACTCCTGTCAAATGACAGGGGTCAAGGCAAGGTCAGAAAGTGTCGGGAGCTACTTTGATTGATCTGGCTGAGAAAGAAGAGCTGTCTGCTCTGGCCATAGGGACAGCCTTATAACTGTTTTACATCAGGCCCAAGATGCATTTGTTGTGTGTAAGTGATATCCTCTTCTGTTCTTTCAGGGCACATATTACTACGTTCAAGTGTGTGCATACAACATGAAAGGCTGGGGTCCCCCGCTTGTGTCCACTCCAGCTTGTGCTGCTCCTTCCAGTAAGTCTCCACTGTGTCAGTGCAGTTGTTGAGATGGGAATCCCTGGTAGTGGATGATCTCACATGATTATACAGCAGGATTAGGATGTGTTCGCTGTATGAACACAAAAGCCCTTGCAGGTTTCCCACACATAAAACAGAACATTGCATCATTCCTTTCACATCCATTTGATTGTGCGAGTCCCACGTCATTGGAGGTTGCCTTGACATCATCCCAGGGGTGACAGCTGGACTCTCCTTGGCCAGAGCTCTACGTGGGCTTTGGGACCCCCACTGCAGACGTCAGTCCATGTAACTGTAGCCCGGGGTGATGTTTGGGCTTGGCTGGCACCAGAGGCTGCCCGGGTTCAGCCAAGAAGTTAACCGTGAAGTCATTCGCCACAACAGCTGAGGTGTTGACTCACTGCTGCAGCGCTGGCCCTTCTTTTTTCTGTCGATTAATCTATCTCCACACTGATCACATTGAGCACACACACACACAAACACACATGTATAGGACAGAAGCCCAGGGAGTTCAGGGCAGTTCATAAGTGTGAGTGTCAAGTGTAAACACTACATTTGAAACTATGTGATTAGTGTGTGAATATAGCAATTCAGCACTAATTATAGTCAGCACTTTATGCGCCTGGCTCCTGGCCAGTCACAAGTGTTTTAAATACAGTTAAAGTCTGAACCAATTTTATGCTAATTGTCAGGTCTATTTGCAAATCATTCTGGCAATAAAGATGGTACACAAACAAGGTTAGAGTTAGCCAATATAAAGCTCAACTATGGCACCTCAATGGACATTGAAAAGCAGTGTTGGTATTTGTAGTAGTAGCAGCAGTGTAATATTAGTTGTGTAATGGTAGTTGTAGTAGTGTAATAGAGTAGTAGTATTAGTGGTCTTCTGATAGCAGCGGATGTACTTACACTCTCATGGCACATCTGGAGAACACATGAGCATATTTGTCCTCATCAGCACCATGTTTTTCAGCTAACTGTGAGATTTCTTTTAAGACTGGGCTTTCCCTCTTTTTTGACTTTTTGTGATGGTCCCCCTCCCCCACCTCTCTCAGAGCTAATTTTGATGTTGCATGTTTGTGTTTTCCATTTGGGCCTACCACTGGAAATATTTGCATGTCTGTGCTGTAGCGCGCAGCGCGGCCCCAACAGTGGGGGCCTTATGCCGGGCCATGGACGCCCATTAAAGGGCCCACTTGTCCTGCTGGGACAGGCACCTTTCCGGGAATAGAGCTCACCGTGTTTGTGAGGCGCGCACACTCCAGGGGTGAGGGCCCGGGGAGTCGGCTGATGGGATGGGGGGGCATGGATGCTGTCAGGCTCAGGAGGTGTTTTCTGCTGCGTTAAACTAATGTCCTCATCACAGTGACACACAGAATATCAGTATTTGTCTGAAAGTGCAAATGTGTATGAAGGCTTTCTTCTGCACACACACTCTCCACTATTAGACCAGTCCAGGACCAGCCCTGAATGTTTGGGACAAAGATACAGACCATCTCCCTCCAAATACTTGGACTGAGTCAGTCTATTAGTCTCATCGGCATGTTTACAATAAAGCATTAGACAAATATATCTCCAGAGGACATCATCACTGTAGCTCCTGGACCTACTTCTGACTGCACGACGTTTTCCACTAAACTGAAACACAAACCTGTCCAGCTTATTTTTATTTGACAAAAGTTATTACTCAATCCTTTCTTAATCCTGGTTCACTTGTTTCAAATAAACCAAATACTGAAATATTCCACTGCTGTCTCTACTGTGTAATCATACAGTACAACACTTTAACATTGTTTAGCTCACAGTAATAGCATATATTTGTATTTAAGTGCACACCACCATCTGTATATTACATTGTAGTTTCTGTCTGCAGGTTGGAGGGACGTTGATGGCCGAACCCCGCGGGTCAAACAAAAGGAGACATTGGACCAACTCTTGGAGCAGATAAAAGAAGCTCATCGTCACTGCATTTGTCACGGTATCTACTACTTTTCTCTCATCTACTCAGTGTGTAATGCCTCCTTCTATATAGTGTTTAGTGGTGCCTGCTAATCTAATACAGTGCAGCGTGCACCTGAGTCCTGAGCCATTATGAATATGGAATTACATGCAGTAAATTCCTGGGTACAATAACAACCTGAAACTAGATGAGTACAAGTACACTTGACCTTCACTTCCAGATCAGTTTAGTGCAGTGTCAGGCGAAACGAGGAGTTCAGTTTACCTCGGGCCATTGCATAAGTCCTGTAAAGTTTGCAGTGTATTTCAGACATGGTGCAGTGCATTGATTATTTATTAGAGACTGGAGAGGACAGTAAGGACATGCTTTACAAGATGGATTGCTGCTTCATGATATAATATGTTCATCATGATATGTTGGAAACATTTCAAACAAAACTACTAGACCAAATATTACCACATACCGAACTGCTCTCCTTACTACCATAGTAAAGCATACAGTGGGCTAGTGTAAAGTGACTGCAGGGAGTTTCAGTTTGTTTAGTTAAGTTTAATACATGTGGATTTGGTGGTGCTGTAAATGAACAGAAGCCCTACCTTTGGCAGGTGCAAGGCGTCTTACACACTACTGTGTTTCATCTCATTTTGACAGACACTTTACAATCTCAGGCTAGGCAAGTACTTTGGGGGCCCATCCACCCTTAGGCAACGTGCCACCATAAAAAATAACACCCAGTGCAGCACCCAGGTCTGTCCCGTCTACTATGTCCCGACCACCACAGCCCATAAGCATCTTTCCATGACTCAGGCCTTCCTCGGCTCAATACGGCCCTCTCTTTCTGCCTGAGACAAAATGCAGATCGACTCTGGAGCTGTTTATAAGCTCAAACACTACTGGTCCCACAAGTGTCAGGAGCTGTCCACACTGGCTGCTTCACATAGCAAGGACCTGCAGTTAGCTTTAGCCAGTTGTCCCATGCCTCAAACAGACACACACACTTACTATTGTCCAGTGTTGGCCACGGGGTATTTGCAGTAGGGTCTGGGCTGTGGTATAATAGTGAGTATTGAGTGGGCCTGCTTCTTCAGACGGGCAAGTGATTGAGTTTGAGAGTTCAGGCACGGTAGCTAAGGTGCCGTGTCCCGGGGTCATGTTTGTTATTCCTGTAAGAGACGAGTCTTGGGCTGGAGTCGAGAGGGGGCATAAATTAACACTGACTGCTGGTGCGGCCCCTCCTCACGGCCCCCAGCAGCCCGCCTGTCGCCCTGTCTACTGTCCGTACATATAAATACATACAGATAGACAGGCACTCACATAGAGACGCTTGTACGCAAATGGACGCGTTGCAGTAATTAAGTACATGTTCTTTTTCAGTGAGTCGCATGTCCATGTTGAGACCCCCACCCCCATCTTGAGTGCAGCTTATTGCTCGCACCACCTTCTCGCTCTTATCCAAACACTATTAATTAAACTGTGAAAGAGGCCTTGACTAACACAGGCAGCCCAGCAGTTCAACCGACTTGTCTATCTTACTCAATGTCAAACAGGGAGCTGGCCAGGAGCGCTAAACACACTGAGGAGGTGAGAAAGCGCGGTGTTTTCTCTTCACCTTGGCTCCTCTGCGGTAACTAAGTCCTGTTCTGAGCTCTGAATGGAGGGATTTATTGACTTTAAGTGGAGTGTGATCACCTGGGAGGGCATCTGGCACTTTCTAATGAGTAGGGAGGCGCGCTATCTCGGGCGACACACAGCACACACACCTCTGCTTCCACACGCGCACGTTCCTCTCCTCTGCCGCCAGCCCCCTCCAGGCCCACTAAAAATAAACACGTCCCCATAGACTTTACTGACCTCCCTGTCAGCGAGTGGCAAAGGGTTAAGACATATACGACACATAGATACACATTAGCGCAGCTCCTTGGCTCCACAGCTCAAGACATGCCATGCTCCAGCAGCTATAGTATGCGCAGGTAAACAAACAGGCGTACGTATATACACACACACACACACACAGACACACAGACACACAGACACACACACTCTTTAGGTCTGGTGTCTCTGGGGGAGCAGGACTAGTGGTTCCCCCAAGGCCCATAGTCTACCACTGGCCGTCAGAGCCACTGTCAAATGGTGCCACGCCACTGGAGCGCTTGAAATGTCCGAAAACATTCCACCCTCAATGTGTTGTTGAACGTGTCAGGTTTGTTGTCAATTAAGTAACGGCCTGTCACCACCCGCCATGTTTCTACAGTCAGGGCAGGGCTGGGTGTGTGTGTGGGAAAGTTTATGTATGGTCAAATGATGTCATAAAGAAAGGCTTGGGGATTTAATAAGATGAAACAAAGTGCAGTTGGCTAGACAAAAAAAATCTCCACAAAGTATACTATTGACAGAAAAAAAAATCACATAAAGCTCATCCTCATTTGTTAATTTACCAATTTTCTGTCTCTTTCACAGAACAATGCAAGGCTCCACAACAAGGAAGGAAACACTCAGTTTCAAAAAGCATCAGACACCTCTTCCAATCCACCAGCAAGTTTGTCAAAAGTTTAAAAAGGTATGTCATCTTTCATAACAAAGGTATGGATTTTAAATGTTTTGTTTAAAAACAAGTTTTTGCTTATCTTTTTTTTTTCTTTTTTTTTTTATTTAGAGGGCTTTACTTGACAACAATAATGTACAGAGATGACAATGTGCTGGTGACACCTGAGGATCAGATTCCAATAGTGGAGATGGAGGATTCCTACTCCAACTCACTCATGCAGGACTTCCTGTGGTTCACTAAGGTGCAGTCAACAAAAGGAGCTTACAATGTGTGATCAGTGAAAAGAAAAGTATTACATATATATACAGATTTCTTGATACAGCAATGTCAAGTTCTGTGGTAAATCAGCAAGTGGGGATTTGGCATTCACTGAAACAGTCTTTTCATATCTAATTTTTATAAAGTGCATAGTATAAAACTGAGACACATTTGAGTGTGAGCCTCCTCCGCCTTTACTGTAAATGTAAATGTGTATATGAAGCCTCACATTGTAGGTCTGCTGCAGGTGTCTTATCTGTGGGAGGAGATCCCCTGGCTACAGCAGTGTCTCAGTCCCACACAGACGTCCTGCTCCTGCACACTGCAGACACGCCTCAAGATGCTCCAGGCCATCTCACATCTCCAGGTGACTACTTTACTCTCACACAAAGCACTGCATGTTAATGCTAGTGCTGTGCTTAATATGCTATCAAAATATCCTGTGTGTTCCTCAGGGAATGCTGGGGACGCAGGATCTTGGTCAGGTGTATTTTGAGCCCATAAAGGACAAACACGGAAATGCACTGTTGGTTCTTCTAAAGGACATGAACGCATGTCCAAACCTGGATGGAGTTCGCTGGATGCAGCTTTGTAAACTGCAACTCCAACGCAAATCCATCTCCTCCCCTGAGGAGCCCACTGCCCTGGACACGCTCCTCATCACGCTCCATGTAAGGAATACTCATTCATATTTCTATGAATATGAATCTTTGCTGTTAACCTGATGGGGGACCAGACCTCTCAAAATAGTGTTTGTTTGCAGTGGTTGTGTTTTTTCATAAAGGTTTTGTTTTTCAGATTCTTTGTAACCTAGAGATTTAGACCAATGAAACTGAACATCATTTTGTCATCAACAGTGCACCCTAACTTCTGGAAAACATTTATGTAATGCTTTTAAACAGATAAACTTCTAAACAATAAGACTGTAAAGGGAAATGTGCTTGCAATTATGAGAGTTACTCATTCAGACACTTGTTAAACAAGCATTATTCATTTAGGACACTTTTCGGCCTGTTGTTTTTGCGTCAAGATCCACTTGTAATTGACTTATTTATCTTCACTTTAGCTGATCATTTGTTATTTTGTTTCGGAAACTCCACATTAGTTAGTACATAATGATCCCTGTGATATTATGTTTTTAAATGTTTTGTTATTATAATCCAACTACAGTAATTCTATGTATTCAAACTGTAGGGGCCCAATCTCGAGTTAAACCACGAGTTGATTTTGTCTACATATCCTAAATATGCTCTTCTCATTGTTGAAGGGCTGTTTTGTCTCCAGTAAACCTTTTTGGCCTTGTGGTTCCCAAACAATGGTGGAGTCTGCCGCTGGCAAAACCACAGTTCACTGAAATATTTTTTTGTGGCCAGTTAACAAATTCAAAATTTAAGAGAATTTTAAGAGACAGATACACATTTTAAACACACTATAGATTCTAGCTAACTGTCTTGTGTAATTCACAGGAGAAGCTAGCGTACCACCGCAGGAGTCAAAAGGTCTTGTCTCCTGGCTTGTACCTGGGTTACCTGAAGCTATGCACTTCTGTGGAGCAAATCAGAGTGCTGGTGCCACAGAAACTGCCCAACGTCCTCTGTCACACCAAGATACGGGACAACTGCAATGTGTCCAGGTCAGAGCCATAGAGTGTGGGCTGGTGCAAGGCTGCTCACTTTAAATGTGATTTTCTCTAAGCCCAAAGGCCAAGCCACAATGAATAGAATCTTTCTGAACCCACTTCCACATGTTTACTGTTAGAAACGATATTACTGCACAGTTTAAAATGGCAAAGAAGAATTTAGACCAACATTCTTCAGATTAATCTTATTCACTGTAGAACATTTCAACAAAAAACTGATTGTATAGTTTATTTTAAATTGTACAGAGAATATTTTGGTTCAAATGGCTGCTTATTAAGTTATGTATGTATGGCCGTATGGCTCAGGGGTACAAACTTCAGTACATATGTAGTAACAATATTATGCATGTTATAGAAATTGCATTGCTCTGTTGTATTTCTCTGTAACCATTGAACTGTTTGTAGGGAGGAGTGGCAGTGGCTACAAGCCCTCTCTTCACTGGACGAGACTATAGAGATGGACCATGACGTACAGAGTGCTCCTCACAGACTCGTACAGGATCTACGCAGTGCCATTAAAGACCTGATGGCCCACATCAATGTCCCAGGGAACCAGGTTAGACTGGCCTCTTGTTGCATCTGACCTTCAGCAGAGGAAGGTGGACACGGGCCAATTTTGCAGAGCAGTTATGCACATACATATATATGGAGAATCTAATAACCAAATCCACACCAACAGTGGCTCAGCAGTCCACCAACCCAAAGGTCAGAGGAACGATTCACGCTTGAACCAATTACTGTCATTGTGTACTTAAGCAAGACACTTTGTCCACCTTGCCTATTATGAGTGATGAGTGTGTGTGTGAGTGATTGGTGGTGGTCAGTGGTGCCGATGGCGCAGATTGACAACCTGGCTTCCATCAGTCTACTCCAGGGCAGCTGGGTACAATAGTGGCCTACCACCACAGAGTATGGAATGAAAGAATAATAAAGCGCATTGCTAGATTATTATTATTATTATTATTATTATCATCATCATCATCATCATCCCTTATGTCTTTGTGTGTGCTTAGGTGCAGGACTTCCGTATCTACAGTCAGGAGGTGGTAGAGTTTGGGGAGAAGGTATCTTTCCTGCTCTTGCTGCCTCCTTCAGATGAAGTGTGCACGGCTCCTGGACAAAACAATCCCTATTCTCCTCGCTCGGGCTTCCTAACACTGCCACTGCAGATCTTTGAACTGGGTAAAAATTTCCCTTAATGCAATCTCACTTGGCACACATTAAGAACTGTTTATCATACTGTGGATCGGATATGAATTGTTTTTGAATTATCTTTGCAGTTCATTTCAATGCCTATTCCCCCGGTTTCATCGGTCAGTACTGCAGAGTATCGGCCCTGCTGGAGCTGGAGTCGCTAATGTCCCAGCAGGCTTTGAGAGAGGCCTTCTCTGAGGCTGAACTGCTGCAGGCCAAAAAGAAGCACCAGCAGATCCAAGAGCACATACAGGTACTGTACAGCCCCAGCCCCAGAGAATTTGGCTCACAGACTGAGATAAACCACTACTAACCCTGACATCCCTACAGCAAATGGAGGAGGTGTGGCGAGATGTGCGCTGGATCATGGACGCACTACAGTATGCGCGCTACAAGCAGCCCACAGGAGGCATCTCCATCAGCTGGATCATAGACTTCTCCAAAGAAGTGCTGCCAGACAAGCCCCTGTCCACCTCCTCTCAGACAGACTTCATGCCCTCACCCCTTCCCTCTCCGGAGCCCTGCCGCAAGCACTCCGGTAAGTTCAAAGGTGATCAAATGTCCAAGTGAGATAACATATGACATATTGTTGAGTGATGAGCAAACTTACAATAGCAAAAAACAAACAAAAAATCTATTCATGATCTGATCCCTATGAAATTGTCATATTGGGACTCAGTGTTTCTTTATGTAGCTCTAATGCTCAAACACAGTCCTTAAATCCACCCATTCTTCCTATTGGTATATTGTCAAATCAATACAATGGTCACTATTAATCAGTAAGTACCAGTATTTCGATGTTAGTTTGCTATTTAACTAGGTATTACCTTTGCTTGTTCAGATTTTGCAGGCCTATCTGATGAGGAGGGTTCCTCCGAGGTCTTCCTGACCACAGACAGTGACTATGACTCAAGTCGCGCTCAGAGTCCTCGTGAGTTGGACCTACTGCCCCCATCCCCTCTGTCCTGCACTGCCCCCCTGGAGTCTCGGGGTCTCCTCCGCAGTGATGGGAGCAGCTCAGGAGGGTGCATGAGCAGCGGGGGACGAGGGCCACTTAGAGACTCCACACCGGATGTCCTGCAGGCCTCTGAGCACAGCCGGGACGGGGAGCGCTGTGGAGGGGTGGGTCTAGGAGTGCGGAGAAGAGGAGCACCGGAGCTGTTTGACAGTGACTTCATTCTGCCCAGCCGACAGATCGAACTGTTGCACATCACAGAGAAGAGACAGGCCTTCTGTGTGAGGACCAGCAGTCTGGAGTTTCCCTCTCCTACCTCATCCCACCCACAGCCTTACCCCCAGCCCACCAGCCGCCTCTCTCCCTCTACACCCCCGCAAAAACGCTTGCACAGGCCTTCCTCAGTGGACCGCTGCTGTCCCAATGAGCGGCCTCCACTTCTACCCCCCACACGCACCTTATCAGAGGACAGCGGCACCCAACGGCTCACATCCCCTTCGCCCACTGCTCTCAGGAAAGGGTGCCATGTTACGCTCCGGGTGTATCCACAATACCGCACTGGTCTGCCCAAAGACACGTGTGTTAAGGTACATTGTTTCATTTATGAATATATAATGTGTTTAAGGTGTCTAACAGTGACATTTGTCCCTCAGCTGTGCGTGACTCCAGGCACATCAGCGCGGGAGATGGTGCAGCTGGTGGTGCAGGAGATGAACAGTGTTGCTCGGCGACTGTTGGGCAGCAGCGGTGATGGAGGGGACAGTGAGCCGCGTGCAGACGGCCAATGTGTCTACTACAGCCCTGAACAGTTAAAGCACTTTGGACTGGTCCTCGTCCTGGACAACAGAGAGAAGTGGCTGCAGGATGACTTCTGCCCTCTAGAGCTACAGAACCCATGGCTCAGAGGGAAACTGTGTGTCCGAATCAAAGAGTACTCTCCTCTGGCTTTGACACAGAGCCGCGCCACCACTGTGTGACAGCACATGCACACAATACACAGCATCATTCTCCTTCTTACAACTGCAGCTATAAAACACTCTTATCTGAAAAGCTTCAGGAGAATTCTATGAAATCTCTCCAACAACATTTTATACACTTCGCAGAAGCTCATATGGACACCAAATGAACAGTAACTAAACAGAACACAGCGCTCTCCCCAGTGTCAGTCAAAGAATGACACAGTACTACTTGTGGTGTCACCAGCGAACAGGGCAGTACAGGTCCAAGTGTTGTACAAGTCTTTTGGTGCTGTCTGATAGCAACTAGATACTGCGATCTCTTTCCTCTGTACAGTCAGTAGTCAATAGTAGTGTAGCTCACTAATAAAACCACTATGTTGTGAATTCAAACCAGCTCATTCCAATTCACAAAAAAAGAGAACACAAGCAATACTTGAAAACGCATGTGACCCTGTTGTACAACATCCAGAGGACTGGAGTCATGCCGTGCTAGAACTTAACCAGTTAAGTATTTTTGTTGTGCTTCGTTTCGTGGTATTCCCAGATGTGTCAGGAAGCGGTGCCCGTCAGTCTAGAGCCGAGTCTCCCCGAGGATTCTGGTGTGAAAGGGATGACTTAAGTTGTCAAGAGGCCCAGCGTTTGTAAACAAACTTGCATACCATATATTCCAAATGGATTCTTCAACTGCTTTCGAAAAGTTATTTATGAAGTGACTTTGATATAGCGCCGTTGTGTCAGTCATGGTCTTTCAGGCCTAAAACCAGCTTTTATTTATGTCGTATTTACAGGAAGCAATGGCAGCATTTGGCAAAGATTGTAATTTGTCATTGCAGGCAAAATCACTTCATTGATTTAATTTATCAAGCCTATTTTTAAGAGACTTGCAATATTTTCAGATCTAGTATTGAGCTTACATTAGCTGACATATGTAGCGGCTGAAAGGGGAGGGTGATGTCAGTGGACCTGGCCTCCAGTACTGTAGCATTCCAGGTTCAGAATGATGGAGAACATGCGTCTGCTGGATTACAACCCACTTTATAAGTGTTTACAAAGAGCCCTGTTCCTAAACCTCCACAATGTGTTTACGTGTAACTACTGTAAAAAAAAAAAATCTACTGAAAAAAACTGTAAAAGTGTTAGTGCTTGGATGTAATTCTGTTTTATATGATGACCAAAAAAACTTTTGTGTACATAGCACCAGATCATAGCAGGGATTGAATGTACTGTATAGGCCCATAATGTGAAGGTAAATGAATGTGGGGTCAAAGGTCAGGGGGGTTTATGCTGCAGCCAGAGCTAGAGCTGAGGGATTTCAGGTTTCCAGTGAAAAAACTTTAGTCCCCCCCCCCCATGTTTACAAGGAGCTGTTGGCACATCCATCAGGCCCAGTCATGAAGGAGACATCACGTCACTTTTTTAAAATCTATTTTTATGGAACAATAAATGGATATTAAAAAAATAAAAGGCTCTGCTGTTTATGTGGCTTCTTTTCTCTTTGCTGCACACCACTTTAGGAAGCTCCTAACCTTAATTAAACAACACAATCTTTAAATGACCATTTTACACATCCTGTTTGGAGAAAGCCCTAAACTTTACTATCACATGGATTCTGGCACACCTCTTTGACCATAAGGACCAGAACAAGCCTTCATTTCAAGCTGCAGATTAGATTTTCATAGGGGCTTATGCCTTTGCTATGGGGCTCCATCTTTACTTATGATATATTCCCAGAAGTCAGCCATGGGGCCAATAGAAATGGAAATAAATGACAAATAGTGGGCACTTGTTTCTACAGATGCTATACTGCAATGACCTCATGGGTGTTTGACACCCAGCCGATGACAACAGCAGTGGGCAGCTGCAACTGAGGCACCACCAACAGTAATGCTACTATTCTATAGGCCAGGGAGTTCCTTATGTTAACGTCACATCTAATGTAGATTTAGTGACTCATTTGTGAAATGCGAAGTTATTTTTTGCTACTGTGCTAACTGTGTAATTTGTAGTGTATAAATCATTTGAAAACCTCAACATAAAATGTGTTTCTAAGACTGACATTCACCTTAAGAGTGGGACATTTGATTCCCAAAGGCACAGTTCCACACTGGAAAAATTGTATTTTATTAGAACTTCTCTATCCAATTCCAGGCAGACAATGGGAATTTATATTTAAATAATATTTTCCTTTATTAATTGTGTTAACATATACAACATATGTATATAACATCTTGATCAAAATACATTACTTGTGGCAAGGCTATGAACCAGGCCTTTTCATGCCTTGAGCTGACAAAAAAACATGTGACATGTGTCAGTGATTAAAGTGTTCATTTATCAACCCACAGGTTGGCAGTTTGATCTCTGGTATGCCAGTGGGCAAGAGACTTGACCCACTTTAGGTGATAGGAGGGGCCTTTGGCACTGTCTACCTTTTGCCCCCACAGAAGGAGCTTTTCACCACCAGGTATGGGATGAAGAAATAATGACTCCCAATAATCAATAACAATAACTATACTAACTCAGATTTTTTATTCAAATCTTATTTGTTTTACATGATACATTGACAAAACACAATTTATTTTGCCAGTTTTGTATTAATAAGGAAAAATATTTGCTTGGTAAAAGGAAAAATGTGATGGCAGAGGAATTTTACAAAAAATGTGAAGTGTGAGGTGTACATTGTTGACATTCAGCATGAGTATTTACAGTGGCAGCACTTACACAGCTCTTTTATTTTACACTATCTTCATATGTTGAGTTGACTCATGATGCCAGAGTCAAATTCCAAATGACTGGCTTTGCTTTCAGCGGGCTCCTATCTCTGTGCTCTCTCTCCAGCCCGTGTATTTTTTCAGCCCTTGAGCAAATAAAATGCGGCATGCTCCCCTGTCAACAGATCCTACAAACACTAAGTCGCAAATGGACGCACAAACACACTCGCAAAAATGCCATGCACTCTGAAATGCTATGGTCCAAATGTGTGAGGAGGCACATACAGTGTCAAAGATTTACACTTTTTGAACTACATCAAGGCTTATCACATGAATGTCACATCTTTGGTAATGCTCACACCTTGAGTGCCGCCCTTTACGTTTATTGACAGTAACTTAATAATTGTACCGGAATTTTGACACCTCCTAATTTTAAACTGTGCGATTCCAAGAGGACCTGATCTAAAATTAACTGTTGGTATATATCTGAATCCCTACAAAGAAAACATTCCTCAAACACTGTGAATAGTGGCTATTCATGCTCCTAAAAACATTGGATATGTGTGCACTGGGCTCATGTGGCCAGACGTGTGACTCATCATAATATGAGAGATAGGGTTGTACATGCTCAGCTCTAGCACTGCTAGGCAGCTTACTGCCACAGTCATCTGTTAATTGCACAAGGCCACACTCCACTTTGTTTCCTCAAACCCCGTGCGGCGCTGTATCGGAAAGTGAGTAGGCTCCAGGACCTAATCTCCATGCACTCACCATGACCCACCTCTGGCTCCCAGGCCTGACCTCTTCTCAGGTTAACGGAGATTAGCAGCCAGAGCCTCGTCCTGACTTTACACACAGGGCTGTAGAGGGTAAGCACAAGTGAAGGGGCTGCTTGAGAATGGGAGAATGGTTTAGGGAAAAACATGGTTGGAAAAGACCCTAAATGGCATTAAGCTGACTTCTGGAGAATCATCTCAAGTGTTTGTTTGGAGATCTGTGGTGGACAGGGGCAAATGAGGTCAAGATACTCTTACTTTGTTAGATACATGCACTTCAAATACAAGTCAAAGGTTTAAGTACAATATTTGATTTCAGAGCAGTCCAGGGCACAGCAGTCACACAAAAACAGTTGCATTAAGTGAAGCAACATTCAAATAAGATAGGAAGTAGTGATAATAACTGCAGAGGCTAGAACGTCACAATCACACTACCATGGAATCCTTTGATACTTCCGATAATTTTGAGTTGTTTGTAAAAACAGACAGGATTCTTCTTTGGTGTAATGAAATAATAAACCAATTAAGCTAATTATGCCATGGTGTTAAGAAACAGAGGCAAGCATAGTCACTCTCAGAAAAAGGAACAACATGCATGAAGCTGATTCATAATAAAAGGCCAGATTAACGGTTTGGGAAGCCTGGCCACCTGATAAACACTGACATGCCTTTCCACGTGGTCTTCTATCTGTATCATGTAATTGCAGTGTATTTCTATGCTTCACAAACCTTCACAGCTATAGTTTGGAGTTAGGACTAGGATTAAAGTATGAATTCCCACTCAGATCTCTTTGTGACACCACTCTGTCATCCATGTATGCGTTTGTTGCTTTTACATTTGACTGCCCACCTGTCCTGGTCACCCCTCCACCCAATGTGCCTGCACCCCTGTGCCTCTGCCACTGGCCCTCACGCGGATTATCCATGGCATACATGTAATGTGTGATTTGTTTTTGGGCTGGGTGAGAAAGTGAAGCCTGCCACTACAACTGCATCACTCATTTCTCTCTCTCCCATTCTCTCCCTCCCTCCCCTGGGCCCATAAACCTTTAAAGCACCTATAAAACACTTGGCGAGGCCTTTTTGAAGTTTTTATGAAGATCTGGCTTTATTGTTCCCAAGAGATGAGCCCCGCTCCACTGGCGCCTCAGAGCTTTCTGGAAGTGCCAGTGAATTCAGGAGGAGGGGGCTGGTTGTGGGGTGTTCGACTGGTGGCAGAGAATAGGGAGTCCCAGGGCATCATGCTGGACTTTTATGTGTATAATCTATGCATTGAAGATAATCCAGGTATACTGTGAACATGACCACTGACAACTTTATATAAGACGTTTAAAACAGGAGTTCAAAGCACATGTGCTGCAGCCTGTGTGTCAGCGTACGGCAGGGTCTGTACTCTGGCAAACGATAGGGCCAGCAGGTTGCATCCTTGTTGTTTGAAGTGGGACTCTGTTGTTCTCCTCGAGCCGGACCCCCCCATCTGTCTGATCCAGCGGCACCAGCACCCTCCCTCTCCAAATCCCAACTCCGACGCCCGACTCACCGGCCCCTCACAGGAACAGTTGGCAAACGAGAAGGCCTATTAAACAGGCCAAGCCCACGGACCCTCAGCTCATAGGAGTGCGATGGATAGGAGATAAAAGAAAGACGTGTGCCTTATATGAGGGTATATAGATCCATGTGAGTGGATGCTGCTAAATGACACCTGTGTGTGCATTAATGAGTACCTCTGCAGCTCAGTGGCTGAGATGAACTGTGCTGATAAGGTGTGTGGTTCCATCATGAGCGGGGCTTGTGGCTCAGATATGAGTGGAGCCGATAGCTCTGGCTCTGAGATGAGCTGAGGTGGTGACTCACCTTCCAAATCCAGCCAACCTATGCATGTTCTTCGAGTTCATAAAACAGTGATACCTTTCTAATTACTTCTCTCCACCATAATCTCTGATAGTTGTGATTCAGATGTTTATCTGACTCATTTTGTTATGAGTCAAATAAATATAAGCTTTCTATGTCCTGGAGGATCAGAAGCACCGTCTCTGTGTCAGATATTTGTCATCCTACACTGTGCTCTGAAGTTCTACAGACTGTGCCCACCCGTGTTTCAGAGTCTGGCTCTCTCACACGCAGAGGAGCTACATGCTGATCCAAAGAGAGGGTAATGCAGAAAATATTCAAGATGTTTCTTAGTCTAGAAGATGTATTATTTTTTGAGGGGCATTTGGTATTAAACTATAACATACTGTATGCAGATCAAAACTTTATATTATTTTTCACTGTAAATGACTATATTGGGCTAAAACAGGTCCATTGACTTCTTATCCAAAATTGCTAAACTGAGGGGTGATAGGGGGCTAGGAGAAAAGAGAAATTTTCTGTACACTCTAGCCTTGAATGCAGGACAATGCAAAATGACTCAAACATGCACAAAACAAATGAAAAACAACTTTGAGTAAACTAATGGCATGCTTAAAAGCTCATGAAAGTCAATTTTACCTAAATACATAATATGTCCCCTTTAATAATGACACTCATTAAGAGGATCAATCACTCGCTCACACACCAAATTCATACTTAAGCAAGATGGGTGAAGTTTATTGCCCAAGCACTGAACTGCCAAAATTATGGACGGAGTTGGCAATCTTATGGATTTTCTACATGCACTCTATTGGTGGTTTTCAGATTATAGAAAGTGATGATGTCACAGTCGCATATTGAGGTTAGAGTCAGTATTCAGTATAAATAATACTGAACAGGGGATTCTCATATAAGCCAAAATCACAAATGTTGATCTGATCTTAATCTCTTCTCTTAGTGATTAAACCCGGTCTACAGCCTGCTATATTACAATTAAAATCTGAGCTTTAACAATATTATTTTTAGCTGAATCTACATCTATATTAAAGAATGTTGAG